TTTTCCACCAACGCAATGTATGCATTTGAAACCAACCATTGAGCTCGAAGCATAGCGAAGTCAAGTAATGCTGGAAGAAGCAGAAATCCTCGATACCGCTGACTCCGAGTCCGCGATTACGACCCCTTCTCACCGCGGGATACAGAGGGTAGGCGAGCTCATAGGAGCATTATTTAGACTTGGTTGACAACTGCGAGGGCCTAATTTATTCTAGGATTCCACTCAGAGCCAACTGACTTTGATACGATTCTTGTGAGCCAAGTCCAGCCTATCCTTTCAAAAGGTGTTAACCTGCTCAAGTGTATTTCAAGTGCTTACCTTTTCAGCGGCATCGATTCTTTGAGCAAGGTCTTCTGTTTCAGCGAGAGCGATGGCAAGTCGTTTCTCGGCGGCCAGGTAGTTCTCCCGGATTTCTTCGCGATTGCGCTGTTCGTCATCGACTTGTCCTTGGAGTTCTTTCACCTGTAATCATGTTTTCCTCTTGAGAATGGAGAGTGCTTGGACACCGGGATCGAACGCTCGGAAAGGGACAAGTAGCATCAAAGCCATAATATAATCCATGGGTAAGCAGACGCGAATCGGCTTAGGGGGCATTTTGCACTTTCGCTAATTTCTTTTGCTAGCTCCTGTTCAATTAGACGTTTCACCTGAGCGAGACCTGTACACTCTCGTCAGCGGTAAACAAAACTCGTTACTGCATGGCTTAGCAGGTTCCCGCAGGAGACATTGGCGGTGATCGAACGGGACCAGCACAATGCCCCCACGAAGCCGAATGGCAATGGTGTTTTGCGTAATTGGGTCGAGTTCAACAAGTGCGCCTTCTGGACCTCTTTATACCTCAGAGACGAGCCAGTTTGGTGCAACTGTTCTTTGGTGTTTGAAGAGGCGTTCGAGACGTTGTGTCATGCATGTTTCACAACGCGCGCGACACTCGGTCCTCGCCAAACGCGCGCATCGCGCCGCGAATTTCAAATAGCGCTGCGCGAAAGCAGATTTGCAGCGCGCCACAACAGTCTACTGACTTGAACTGAATCCCTTTGACCGCGCCAACTTTCTGTTTTTCTCTGCTCTCTCATGTCTCCATGACATTTCCTGACCACTTAGACCTTACAAATTCCAACTTACGCATGATTACTATCTCATCCAGCC